TGCTACTTTGATGAACCTTCCTTCTGTGAAGCCCGAAGTCAGCTAAATGGCTAATGATAGCTCTCATAACGCCTACCATTTGAAATAAATAAATCTGAACCAAAAATATAAAAACGAAACAGCAAAATAGAGGGGGGAGGGGAAACCTACCTTTCCGAATGAGTAAGATCTGAGCGGCAGTCAAGGAGACTTTAAATTGATCGTACGCTTCCGAGAGGAGCTCCTCGTGACTCGCATGCATGAGTTGTTTATAGCGCTCATCGGACTGCGCTCGACCAGTAGCAGCCAGCGTGGACGCTTTGGAAGAGTGAACGTCTGTGGAGCCGGCGTGTGATGCCTGTTCAGTAGTAGGTGCTTCGTCAGTACGAGGCAGATCCAGCTGAGCACGAATGGATTGAAGAGTCACGTTTCCGAAATCCACCATTATGAGGCGACATCCTCTAAAGAATCATCAAATTCCGGCTAAATATCTCATAATTAATGAACGAAATGAAAGGAAGGTCGGTAAAGGTAAGAACTCTTTACCAGTGAATTCTATTTAGCATTGAAACAATTTCATTCCAAGATGATATTCGATCGTAACTTTCAGGGTAAACTTGAAATGAGCAAACTCGCAGAGAACATTGGTCGTTATCTGCTGCATTACTTCATACTGCTCTATCATGGTCATTGAAGGTCACTTATTTAGTGCATCTGAATAAGATGCTTGCATGTGGATGAGGAGTATTGACGAGGATTGTGCTTAGTGAGCTATTCAAACAAGGCGGTGTATGACAAAAGTAGAGTGAAAGCAGTCGAGGAGAGATGTGGTCCATGGGATTTGTAGAAATCACCTCTTCACCTCTTCGCCTCTCTCCCTCTCTCAGCCTCAAGAGAAAAACATGTTACTGGCGTCTCTTCTAGCTACTTTTGAAAGCCTCCTCGCACTGAATTCCATGACCATATTAAGAATATTCTGACATGTGGAATTTCAGCCATCTTTGCCCTCTTTAAGTTTGATCTTTTTGAAAGTGAAGAACAGCGCGATTTCATCGAAGGTGTGAGAGAACATTGCCTTCTTTTCCGCGAAAATTCGAATCTAAAGTCGGCAGCTTCGAGATTCGTACTTTTTTGCTTGAATTTTCTCAAGACGGGGATTTCAGACAAAATGCGAAAAATTTTCACACAAAGAAGACCAATAGTTACCTAACAATTTCCGGTTCATAAATACCATTAATTTCGCCTGAAGCCGGAAGCATTGTGCGACAAAATTGCAGTGGAGGCAATTTCTTGGAGTTATTGGTGATTTACTAGTAACAATGCATTTTACAAACCTACTGAAATATGAGTAGGTGTCTAGATGTCAAGAGACGTTTTTTGTTGAATTTAAGTCGACAACTTCCCACGTGAGTTGCATATGAGCTACAACTTTGTCAAGAGCCAATAAGATTGAAGCATAAAAAGCATTGTTGAAAATCTGCTTATTTATAGATTAGTTTGAAACTCATTCACAAATCGCAATTATTAGAGTTACACACTTCAAGAAATGGGCAAACTCATTACTGATGATAGCGCAGCTTTACAACCAACTAGCTTTAGTTTACTTGAGGCAGGAATATTTAAAAAGAGAAGTGCACACACACACATAATTTGAGTGATTGAACAACTTCCAAAAGGGTAACACCCTACATCAGCCAAATTCATCACTAACAGGCTTAATTGTGTAAACAATTAAGCCTGTCGAAGTTGTGCAACATACAAAAAGGCGGGGGGTG